ACTAGCTAAACCAATACCAATAAATATTTAGTTTACATAGGGAAATCTCGATCAGCATTAACGTAGTTTCTTCATGATGATCCTAGTAATTGTTGTTACCCCGGCAGAGATCATGCATGTACCCATTTTTCACTTGGATAGAAAGTGTCTAATGTGGATTAATATCTTTGCAAAGAACGTTTAGTGCCGGGCTGGGATTCGAACCTTCAACTTGGGTTACTACGTGACACCTCTGCGCCTACACAACAGGCCTTCCGTGTTTCAATATCACCAACTTGATTACAAAAACAAATTGAATAGATAAATAAGATTAATTGATTACCCGTCATTTTCTTCATAAATGTTTGGTGTGTTTATTTATCTATTTATTTTGATATCTCCTAGGGTTCTTTAATTTTTATTCACTTTATTTATTTCATTACTTTTAATCAAACGCCGCAGGACTGTATTTATTCTAAAACAATGATATTATATACATGTATACAAATATATATATATATATATATATATATATATATATATATATATATATATATATATATATATATATTTATATATATATAGTATAACTCATAGACGCCCCCCCCCCCCCTATTTTGGTGGTCTTTCTTAGTTTCATTCCCACTGTATTTTGTTTTCATATTTTTCTTTGGCACATCCCTACTTCGGTAGCATGCAGGTGGGGACTGTATTCCATTGTACATAGAATCTTTGGTCACCGTAAGCCAAACCCACTTCTCTAACCGCTATTTTTTGTTATACTGTCCTCTGTTGATCTATTGGACTGTGATTCCCCAACCCAAAACAGATTACAAAAACGGTCGTTTTTCTTACGTAGCTCCTTCTTTGTACAATAAACTCCCAAAAGATGTTAAAGGGCAAGTCCACTCCAAAAATAACTTACTTTCAATAGAAGCAGACAAATCAAACAAACCAATCAAAAAGAGTTTGAGCAAAATCAGATAACCAATAAGAAAGTTATGAATTTTTAATGACATGAAAAACTTTGAAAATCACTATGCAAATTCGCAACTCACTCATGAGTCTGTGACGTCATGTCCTCACTATCCACTTATTATTTTCTTCATATTGATAATATAAATTTCCTATTTCCCCCCTTAGAATCTCATTTCTTCACACCAGCATCCAAGTTAGATTGATAGTAATGTGTTTTTGTGTGGATGCACTAATATAGCCAATTTTGTTTTCCAGTTTAATCATGAAAAATGTGAATTTTGATAAACTATTTATATAAAAATCAATAATTGTGAATATTCAATGTTTAGAAAAATATTATTAGTTCTTCAAAGTTCAACAAAGATTTTGTAAAATTTCATGCACGCAATATGATACAAATCATACAACATGGGCAAAATAATGGAGAAATCAAGTTTTGGGGGATAAAAAGGGAAATTAATGGGATTAAACTATATAAAGCAATTGGTAAATAGTGAGGACATGATGTCACAAACTGATAACCAAATTGGCAATTTTTGTTGTGATTTCCATGTTCCTTAGTTTTACATACTTTTTCAAAAATTCATAAGCTTTTCTATTTCAGTCTTTAAAATGAAATTTCTAGTAAAAATGTGTTGTAATCACAAGGTTGTTATCTTACTTTACTAATTACGTGTTCAGTATTTTCCTTACCTTTGTAACTCTCGCAATGTTATTGTTTAAACATGTATATACCACTTATTATTTGTATATGGATATTTTCTAAAATGTCACCTAACATGTTTTTTTTTCATGTATTTTGTATGTTGCAGCAGGGCGTCATTGTAAAGCAGTTTTTTAAAACTAAATGACCTACCCTGCTTTTTAAAGAAGAAATGACTAACAAAATAAAATAATATAATAAATAAAATAAATAATTTCATCATTAAGGGGCGATTCTAGGATTTGAAATAAATAGGCCCCCCTGCGAAAAAAGGGGGGGGGGGTCGAGTACGTAAGAGTACCCCCCCCCCCTCTTCCCCCTTTTCCCCGTCATCCCTCCGGATCGTTATTATCATTTATTCCATTATTATTCAGACTTCTAAACTGGGCAAAAATTAATCCGAAGAGGTCATGGACAGTCCAACAAAAGGCCTTTCTTTGGACATGTGGCATGAAATGAAAAGGTCTAGATGGCAATGGTCACTTTGTATTGTTCTACGAATGCAGTGGTCATCGGCGCTGGCTGGCCATCCGTGTAAAAAAAAACAGTCTCCCGCCACTCTTCACAACTTGTCTACCCCCCCCCCCCCCTTTCTCTCTCCCTCTCTCTCTCTCCCTCTCTCCCTCTCTCTATATCTCTCTCACACACACTCACAAGCTTTCTCTCACTCTCTCTCTCTCTCTGTCCCTCTCTCTCTCTCTCTCTCTCTCTCTCCATCGTTCCCCATCTCTTTCTCACTATATTTTACAATTTTCAACAAATTTACCTTGTTTGATATGCGAATTGATCGCATTGTTCGATGTTACTTGATGAGTGGATACGTACCATGTATGTGCTACTACTTAATAATATACATGTAGGCCTATATTGATTGTTTATATTTATTCGCCAAACTTCCAACATACAACATACAATAACAACAGATCAAAATGAAGTTAGCTTGAACAGGATAGCCCACGAAAGCTCAAGAGCTTATGTCCAGTAGTGGTCCCAGACATACATGTACAAATTAATAAGTTGAAATAGTAATATATCTACAGACAGATAAGAAAAATACTTATCAAAGATAATACTGATGATAATAATAATAATAACAAAATGAAACAAGATTAACCCTATAATATCGGCACACCTCTTCTTATTTCGCATACCGTTTATTGTTTCCATAATTGCCCCTCTTATATTCTTCGTTTGTATCTTCCTCTACCCATCTCTTAGGAAAACCCAATCGGAAAGTTATCTTAAAGGGAAAGTCCACCCCCAAAATAGGTTTGTTTCGATAGAGGCAGAATAATAAGAAAATCAGGTGAGTGAAAGTTTGAGCAAATTCTGAATGAAAATAAGAAAGTTATGAATTATTGAAGTTGTGATCAATCAAATACAAATTGGCAACTCTGTGACTTATTATACGAGCTCTCCTTCATTTGCTTTGTGCATAATATTCCATAAAATCATGTTTTCTTCGTTATTGATGACGGAATATATATTTGTTCCTTGCAGGGGGAGTATAGAAACATATTTGCAATTATTATATTTAGGGTGCATGTATGGTTGAAATTTTTCTTGAGGGAAAATGAAAATTTTAGATTTTTTTAGTACTGAGCAAATGGAAGTTGAGCTCGCATGATACGTCATAGAGTTGCCAATTTGTGTTTGATTGATCACAACTTCAAAAATCCTAACTTCCTTATTTTTTAATCGGAATTTGCTCAAACTTTCACTGACTTGTTTCTCTCATTTTTCTACTCCTATTAAAACTAACTTAATTTCAGGGTGGACTTTCCCTTTAAATACAATGAAATCTATATCTAAATATATAATAACTTAATGAATATAAAATACTCCTGACTCAACGTGACTAATGCTATACATTGTACTTTGTTTTATGTTTTTATTTTTCTGTTATAAAATTAAAAGAATAGTAGGCCTTTAAAAAAACCCACAGTGGAGGGTGCACTGTGTGTACATGAAAGTTAACTACAAACAACGAGCTTCAGCTATTAACAGTTCAATTCGTAATAAGGACAGATCCATATACGAAAAACGGTCAGCTCGCTTTCGAAAAAGTTACAAATACTAAACACTGCTGAACGCAGACATTTGCTTTTTTCCAATCGTTTTGACCTCTAGTCTAATAACGATAAAAACTCTTGTATGATATTAGATGAACATTCTAGTGTTTCCTTTACCCTCAGCACTCCCCCTTCCACTCCTCCCCCTTGAATCGATCAGCATCCTTGTTTGTCCCAGTGTTTAAATTTCCAGAGCTTTTTAATGTTACGTTGGTTATGATTCATTAATATTATGATAAACGATCTCAAACTATAGCCATCATAAATATGTAGATTATTTAAATGATATTACAGGGGGCGTTTGTTTGTTTGTTAGTTTTTTTGTAGATGTGCTTCTCGCCAACATTTGCAGTTTAAACAATAACAAAAAACATTTTGTTTACTCAGTTTATTATTGGCTATTAGACCACATTTGATTAGAATATGTTTAAATGTATTGAAGAATTCGTAATCTTAATCTTGAGGGAATTAATCTTAACGTGTCTCTGATATCAACTCGAGCGCAAAGTATTGCAAAGATCAAACGCAATTACAATATGGCCTTGGAAGTCACCTATTGAAAGACATAGGCCTATTACGTAATCAGAACACATGATTAGCAATTGTATACGCGCAATACAGCAGCGTATTCAAATTGTCTTTAAGTTGATTTCTTGAAAGACTTTGCGATCGTGTCACCATTTCGGCTATTTTATGGTCTTCCATTAACATGTTGTTTATGTATTTTGCAATATGTTTCATTTTGATTTGTTTCATGAAGATGCAATGCATTCATTCACTTATTAATTTACAGGACAACATTGGATTTCCTATTACTGACCAAAACAAATATTCAGGACTATTTACAAATCAATTGACGAGTTGCTCACCATTGTTCAGATGACCATAGCTATACGATCTCAAAATAACTCTTATTTTTGTGATACATGATACTTGTTTTCCCAAACTGTTTGATTGCATGTTTTCACTATTTTTTTTGTATCAAGGCTACGCCTACAAGTGATCTGTCATTTTGTAGGGATTTGGATAAAGATATCTATTGATTAATAATTCCACTTAAATGTTATTTCACTAGTTTCGCGATTGTCAATAAGTTTGCCTTTTCTATAACTTTGAAGGAATCAATATTGCTACAACTCACCGGGTCTGAAAGCACATTCTACGCGTTCTGGGTGACCTTAAGTGTTACGTAACAAGAACGGCGCACCGTTATACACTAAAATTTATGCTACATACACAATGTGTGTGACCTACTCCGCATGAGTTCCTTTCATGCATTGGGTGTGCGGGCAGACGAGATTGGCCGAAGCTTGACCATTGCTTCAGCACTGGTCAGTTTTTTTCTACGAAGTGACCACTACTGTGTACGAACTGGACATTGTATTCGATACGTAAACGGAAACACAACCCAACATCTCTATTTTATTCTTCGTATTTGTCACAATATTTCACTTCATTTTGTCTATTGGAAAAGTAACGTTGCTGCATCAGAACACAGGGTAATCTATCCCCTGTGACGTGATGACATCATAGTTTGGATCACTCTAGTTTGGACTAAGGAATGAACTACTTTTGGGGGCAGTATGTGATCTACTTTGGCCAGAGGATCGAGGTAAATACAACAGCAAGCTTAGCTTAGTTTGGCTTATGTATTATGTGTGCTTTTCAAAAGCCGCATTACCTTCGATTTTTTTATTTAGATATACATTTCGATCGTTGGCATGTGTTTGTTAGGTAGTGATGCGTATGTTCTGTTTGTATTCGGTCTTACTTAGTCATTTACATGTAAGGCATTCGCTTGATATTCGTTTACATTAATCACTAATAAAATCATATTTATATTATATTTTTCAACACATCTAGGCAAATACCATAGTGAATACTCGCCTCATATTTGGTACGTGATGATTTATATATTGACGAAGCTCAAGTCATAGATATTCGCTCTTCAAACGAATCATTTTATCTTACTAAAGTGCTTATAACATGTCAATAGATGTATTCGTATTGCATGATCTATTAATCAGATCATCCAATCTTTATTATTGTCAATATTGTTTTCATGGTGGGGATGGTATTGTTATGATTATTATCGGCATTGAGTTCATGATTATCTTCAATTTATGCGGAGACATATTCCGACTAATTTCAGAGATGCCCAAATAACCAATATGAATTACACGTACCTGTCATCTATACTGTAGGGCGTATATTATTTGGGTTTTTTGTGTAAAAGGATATTATGAAAGTAATATTATGATGCTCATTAGAAGATACATGTAATATGATTACCTCGTTCATGCAGGGCTCTCTGGGGTCTGGGAGAGCAGGTCCAGAAATAGACTTAAAATGATACCACCCCACCACCCTGTTGAAATTAAACTAAAATAATAATAATAATAATAATAATAATAATAATAATGATTTCTCTGTGAGGTAACATGTACCTTTTTTCATATAAACACTCGTTGAACATATGGGGCTACATACTTCCCTTAAAATAATACCACGCGTAATATTTATACCAATCATCAGTCTCGTAACGCTTCTCTCGTTCAGAAATAGACAGTTGAAGGAATTTTATTTTAGGAAGGCATGACATTGAGAATGTTATTGATCACTCCTATTTATATGATGATTATTGATTTGCACAACTGTTTTTTTTTTTCACTTTGCTTTGAATTTCCACTCATCAAAATGACTCTTATTTCGAAAAAGTTAACCCTAAATTTCCTGACGTGGTATTTGGGACTATGTAAACCAAAATGTTTTGTTTATTAATAATGAGAATACTTTTCTGTCTCTCTCTCTCTCTCTCGCTGTGTCTATATGTGTGTCTCTCTGTCTCTCTCTCTTCCTTCCTCTCTTTATCTCTCTCTTTCTCTCTCTTAATCCTTCTCTCTCATTTTCTAAAGGGTGTCGCGACGTGTCGGTACGATTACAGAATTTCTCACTATAAATTAATAGAATTTGTCGAAGGACCCTCGCCCATTCACACCCATACACCCCTCCCCAGAAAATCTAAAATAACTGGGGGGGGGGGGTGTTGGTTAATATGACATTGACCATCACGGTCGTTCTTTTTTGTAGGTTATCTTATATTTTTATTGTTGAACAGTATTGTATTTTGTCCTAGGTAAAATGAGTTTTGTATGTTTCTATGGTTTCTCTCTCTCCCTCTCTCTCTCCTTTTTTTTCCTTCTTCTCTCTCTCTCTCTCTCTCTCTCTCTCTCTCTCTCTCTCTCTCTCTCTCCCTCCCTCCCTCCCCCTCTCTCTCTCTTTCTCTCAATTTCTCTCTTTCTCTATCTTTCGCTTTCTCTCTATCTATCCTAACTCTGATAGCAGCTGTTTCAAAATATGAGTTTGTCTGCAAATAAACAATACGACACGTTATAATTTACCAAACATTCTTCTTCACGGTTTGTTCACTAGTTTCGATTTGATCTTACTCCTCTCTCTGCAAAATGACACTTTCTTCTCTTGAACGTTGTTTTCTACATAGACGATTGCTCAATTAATTCTAAGCAATGATCTTTTAAAGAGCAAAGTGCAAACTATAATACTTGTTGGGCACAATGACAAATTAATGCCAATTTTGCTGTTTATGCTGCCGAATGGTAATTTCACCCCAATATTTATCGAATTTAATTTCACAAACGATCATTTCGGCAAACCTCGGTGACATTATCGTCGCTCAGTCACATGATAAGTTTGGCGCATTGTACGAGTCGGCGGGGGTGCGTATCATCATCCTTCGGCCATAATTTGTGTTCGTTTTTTTTAAATTTTGTATCGGTCTTGTTCGTTCATCGAAATTGTAGTAGGTCCATGTTGTGAGCCTTCTAGTCAAAGACAAGTTCCGGTCGTCTTCGTATCGTAGTGACGTCATTCCAGTTCCACGACGTGGCCTCGAAATACCGTCATGACTGTAGATGCCGATTTTTTTTTTTTTTTTTTTTTGGGGGGGGGGGGGGGGGCTTTTTCTCCGACTGTAAGGCTTCTTCAATCTTCATATAAAGACAGCCTTGGAAAAAATTATTGGACAAAGCTCCTGTGATTGGGGTATCAGAAAAACTATCACGCATGTCTCAAACAAAATACATGTATATATTTTGCTACTCTCTTTTTACCACAGAAATAACATCAGTACACTTTCTTGGTTAAAAAATATGACTTTGCTGAAAACCAAGTCGGATATAACTTAAGAAGATAGCTGCAATCCATTCATATCGGATTTCATTTTTAACAGAATGGAAAGGTGTGTGATAGCCTTTGATACTTGAAAATGATTCAACAGAAACTATGTCCATATCTGACGTTGTTACGTAATAAATCGTTGCGCTGTGTCACGTTTGACTGATGGTTTATATATATCGATAGAAGCTAATATGACTTGTGAAGTATACATGTCGTATTGAAGGTCCATTGTGATGTCATGAAATCCATTTAGGCATTGTCATCCATTTGTGCTTAAGCCATAATCCCGTGCCTGTAGTTGTTGGACGGTTCTACAACACTCGCTCTGACCATAGTAAATCCATTCTCGGACTACTCATGGGCGGTTCTCGATTTTGTTTTTCTTCTTGGGGTAGCTTTGATAGGGGGTTCTTGGAGGTTCATGCAATAATTGTCTACATGTGCCTCGCGAATGTTGGTTTTGGGGAGGGCGCAGTGGGGGGGGGGGGGTGAAGAAATGGGGGTATGCCCTCTAAAACCGCTACTGCCGCGGTCAATATCCTATGCCACTACCGAATTCCTCATTGTAAACCCTGCACAAAATACCAAATAAAATGTAGTAATGGGTCACATTATAAGGCATACATTATGGCAAAGCTTAAAGGTAAAGACCAGTTATGGTCATGCGATTGCATTGTGAGAGAAACGTTGTGGAATCGATCAGAGAAGGTTGATCATCTAGCATCTAGCATCTGCAAGGTTCTGGAATCATCAAAATGATAAGAAATTTAGCCCATTCTTCGTAAAGTTACAAGCACTATACACAGAAAGATGTATATGGGACTACCCTATATCTCTCACAGACCATGAGAGAAACAAATTTACCAAATATATGAATTAGTAGGCGGTTTCCCGGCAATTTTTTTATCATGATGTATTAGTTAAAACATATTCTTTCACATGATTGGTAATGAGAGCTTCCATTTCATTTTTTGAAATTGGGGCGTTTCCAATACTGGTCTTTACCTTTAATTTGTACCGGGCCGGGGGGGGGGGGGGATCATTTTTAGGAAAATGGAGAAGAGGAAAGGAAATGAGAGGATCATGAAAGGAATGTTTTTGTTGCTAAAAATGATGTTGTGGAGGTCATTTCACTCAGTTTGCAGTGAATAGAGCAGGTCATTCTGTTAGTTCTTTCAGTATCATGAAAGTACCCCCTTGAATGTATCCGTGTGTTCTGACCATGTTCTGACATAGCCCAGATACAGGAAGACATCAATAACATTAGGGCAACTATCAAACCATGCGTGCAAAACAGGGGGGAGAGGTCTTCACGCAGTTAACGCTTTCTTGCATTTCAGAAAAAAAGGAATATGGTTACTGGTATAGCCTTATAGATGATACACCCATGGTTTAATCTTGCAATCGAGATCAGATCACGTATTGTCTGCCTGGCTTCCGAGAAAAGCCTGTCTGTGCAAATAAGTCGATATATTGCGTAATTCTGTGTGCCGTCAGCCATTTTTATCCTTAGGTTTTGTTATATCCGATTGAGTCTATAATGCGCTATACTTTGCTCTTCTCATTGTATACCCATGATCAGGGTGATATGATGCATGTCGGTATTGTCGGATCACCTACATTGTAATATCAGCATAAAAAGCAGGCAAGGGGGGGGGGGGGGGGCAAGGGGGCAAACGGTTATTTTTGTTTATTTCCGCTAGGACCGCTACAAAAGACCTCAATTATGTTTGTTGTTGTTGTTGTTGTTGTTGTTGTTGTTGTTTTTTTGTTTTTTTTGGTAGGGGGGGGGTCGTTTTGTGTGTGTTTGAATGATACTCCTTTCATCGCATCATATAATGATTTTATTTATTGAGTTTGGGGAAAGGTGGACAATAATTTGTTAGCTTTTTCACCCTTTTTTATGTGAGTGTGGAGGAGTATCATAAAAGAAATGTCCCCTGAAAAGGTTGGCTCTTTAACAGCCCGCATATATAGACCTATTTGAAATATATTTAATATGACAAGTAACAGCTACACTACATGTCGTGGACCATATATTCATGCTACTGTTGCTACATGTTTTTTTTTAAAGATTTTGCACTGTGCATGTGAGATTAGCCCTCCCAAATATTGCATATTTTGAGAATAAACTAAACAAAAATGAAAACTATTAAAAACCTCAATGCATTATCAGATAGACCTAGCATTACATGCAAATGCATGTCGGTTTAATACTACATGTATCTAAGTGTTGTTTTTTGTAATTATACCAATCACGAAAAATTATTTTGTTCTGTATGTTTATACAGGTTCCGTGTCGCTATACTACAGTATATTCAAAATATGAGCAAAGAGGTAATTAATCCTTTAAAGGTAAAGACCAGTATTGGAAACGCCCCAATTTCAAAAAATGAAATGGAAGCTCTTATTACC